TGTTTAAGGTTACGACAACTGACGTGTGACAAAAGGAAGAGTGATGTATTAATTCTGATATCCTTTTATAAGACACAAATATGCATGTACGTGTTTGACAAATCGAACCTTAATTTCATCTATCAAACACTTTGGACACGTCACAAGTGGTCCTAAACGCTCTAAGGGTAATATCTCATTCTAATGTGAGAAGACTCCCAGCGACAATCTCAAAGCTTCCAAAATATACATCAGAGACCACATACCGGGATGTGTTCACTGTTTAAAGATATGTATCATATACATTGCAACTTGATCCGTGGTCAAAGCTGTTCGTAACGATTTAGGCTGTACCTTCTTCAATCAGCCTCTCATATCCATTGCTGATGCTCAGACATCGATACCTGTCGTTGTACATCTCCGTCCGAATCAACCCGTTTACCCAGCCACAAAATAACCTGTACATTCAACTCTCTGCTGACGCTGAAAACGTATTATGGTATTGGCAACCGGTTGACTATAACACCGTTCCGGTCGAGCTGCTAAAGGTAGATTTTGTATCACGGGTGTTTACCCTTGAATTTCCCTGTACGGGTGAAGCCACTACGGAACATTAGATCCTATTAGTTGTGAGCAAGGCTCTGTATACAATACTATGTGAAACAGCAATATGTATATGTGTTCATTCACGCGTATAAATCACTCTCAATATCACCGGCGCTAATTCAGCAATGCTCTTTCCGTATTTGGGTCAACACAATCTGCAAAGAGCCTGGATTCAGTGTCAAATCTTAAGCTGTAGATAAAACATAATGGTAACATTTAATAACAAGCGCTTTACCAGCTTATATGCACGAGGCGGATGCACATGGTGTATTATGGTATCATCAAAGTGGTGGAAGTCAGCGTGCGAGAATACAAATACAAAAAAAGGTTTCACAGCTTGATGGCTGGACATTCACTATCTAAAAATAGTACATTTTGTATTTAAAATGCAAGGGAGCGAACGAAAGATATTTCACGCTTCTGTCATCATATATCCCAACTACATTCAAAGCGGCCTGTAAATAATGGAATGTGGGCTGCACAAGCCAGTGATGAAGTACATGGACAATTGTGCACAATGTCAGGGAATGATGGTGTAACTTGTAACCATATCGTACACTTCAACCATCGGCCTGATTCTTATTTTAATAGTGTTCAACGAAATGATTACTCGGCTCCAGGGGATCCCCCTATTTAGAAACTATTTTTCTGTACGTTATATAAATAGTCATGAAGTGATTTGTTCACATTTGTTTTTGATGTGAAAACGATAAACAGACATATAAAAGTATGTTCTCAAATAATGGTTTGTGCAAATGTTTTAAGTGACTGAGGGTTTTGAGAAATACTGTTTCACAAAATTACAGTTTGGGTTTAACATTTAAGCACCGATCAGTCCAGTGGGGATATAATAACAGCAATCAGCCATGAACACACAATCATCCTAGTCACAAACTGTAACCACCCAATCCTTATACTAACATTTTTTATGTTTTTCACATATAGTATGCCCAGAAATTATTGAGAATTTTAGGAATATGTTTAATTGGATTTCTAGTATAAGCAACCTTGACCAGCTATCAAGACTTAGTGCTTGGTTTCATTCAAGAGAGACAACTCCGTTAATCCTTTTTCATTAGTTTGCGAAGAGTTATTCCCATTTGTTTACTTGCTAGCAGACGACATTTTCGGTGATCCTCAGTATGGATAGATTTAGAGAAGAGGAAGTTGATTTTAGAGTATTATAACAAGGCCATCAGATCAGCTAAAGTGATTTCAAGTAGAGCAGGCACCCCTTTGTCCACTGTTTATCGTGTGTTAAAAAAATATTGCAAATGGATATGGCATTGAGCACCAGGGAGGCGCACGTAGGCCCAGAAAATTGACTGTCGGTGACAGGAGTCGGCTTGGTATTCTTGTTTCTAAAAACAAACGAAGGAGTTTAGAAAACTTAAGGCTGGATATGATTGATAGAGGAACTTTGGCTGTCTGTAAGGAGACAATTAGAACTGAGCTGCATGCAATGGGTTGGCAGAAAAATCGAGGAATTCCATCACCGATCATGAAACCTGAACAAAAGGAGCGAAGGTTGAACTGGTGCTTACAGCATAGAAATTTTAACTGGGACAATGTGATTTTCTCAGGTGAAAGTTCTGTGTGGCTGTTTCCTAATACACTGAAATTCTGGACCAAACAAACTGAAAAACCTTTGTATCAGCACCCAAAGTACAGTCCGGAATTTAACGTGTGGGGTGACATATCTGTTAGGGGCAACGCCCCTCTGTGTATTTGAAGGGAATATGAACAGTGAGCGGTACACAGATATTCTCGAGGGACATTTACTTCCATCTGCTCACGTGTTCTATGGAATTTGTTTTGATTTTCCAGCAGGACAACGACCCAAAACATCGTTCAAAGCATTCACAGGCCAGGTTTTGGACCCAAAATATGACATTATTAGATTGGCCAAGATATAGCCCTGACCAAAATTCAATAGAAAATGTTTGGGGACTTATGAAGGAAAGTGTCAATAAGAAAAATCTGACAAATATTGCTGAAATGAAAGAAGAGGTGGTCCGATATTGGGACACCATGGACCACGACTTTCTAACTTCTTTGATCAGTAGTATGCCCCGCCGCATTGAAGCCTGCATTGCTGCCCATGGTGACTTGACACAATACTAACTGTTCACCTGTCTTTGAATCTGGAGTTATGGTTTGCAAATGTTCACATTTTATACGTGAGTAATGAGTGAAAAAAAAAAAAATTTACAATCTTTAAATTCTCAATAATTTCTGGTTGTACTGTACATCACATTGGCATGTGTTGTTCTTGGTTAATAATGCGTGTGTGCGTGCGTGCAGGCATGCGTGTGGTGATGTGAGGAGAAAGGGATTTTAGATAGACTTCGATGTCATTTCATATTATTTTGTGACAGTTTAACAGGGATACCCCACTGAGACACACTATGCCCTCTTAAAGCCGACCAGGTTAGAATTGATCTTCAGCAACCCGTAGTTGAGGTGACTAACGGGATTGGGTAGTCAGGCTCTCTGACTTGGTTGACACATGGCATCGTATCCCAATTGAATAGATCGATGCTCATGATTTTGATCACTGGATTGTCTGGTCTTGACTTGATTATTTACAGACTGCCATTGCTATTATGATTAAAATATAATTGTAAAGCCTCGGGACTATTTTTATGCGGCAAACAGAGCCAGAGAAGGAAGGCCATTCTTTGTAATGTTCTGGTTCCAATATGCCATATGTAACTGTCAGAGAGGGTCTTTAAGGAAATGTAGTTCCACCAGTTTTGTACAATGCAATGTTTCTTTACTGCAGGAGCTCATACGTCAGGAGACTGACTTTAAGTACATACTTGTCACTACACCATACAGTTCTACACATAACGTTTGTATTGAACTTTTCCCATAAGCATTCGACATTTTCAACTATGAGAGCATTGCCGGTCTTTTCACTTCCACTGGGACATTTTCCTTTTTCTATATCATCTCAACATATTATACAAAAAGATACTTTGAATTTGAAGACAAATTGAAATTCCTAAATAATTGTATTGGTGTTCCAGATACATTTTGAATTTTTGCCATCTAATTTCAAAAGGGCATGGTAAATTTAAGTTTCAAAGTAAGTGAGTGAGTTTAGATTTACGCCGCACTCAGCAATATTCCAGCTATATGGCGGCGGTCTGTAAATAATCGAGTCTGAACAAGACTGTTAGTCGCCTCTTACCATAAGCATGGGTTACTGAAGGTTCATTCTAACCCTGAACTTCACGGGTCTTCAAAGTAAGTCATAAGAAAGTTATTGTCTATCTCACAACCCGAACCACATTATTCTCCCTTCTGGCCTTCCCTCAGTACAATGCCTAAAATGAAGCAAGTATTTCTCCGAGTCTCTCTGTCAACTGCGTCTCCTTTTCAATATGAGACCGCCTCCGTGGTGTAGTGGTTAGAGCGTCCGCCCGGAGAGCGGAAGGTCGCGGGTTCGATCCCCGGCCACGTCATACCAAAAGACGTTAAAATATGGTACTTGTTGGTCCCTGCCTGGCGCTCGGCATAAAAGGGGAAAAACAAGGACTGGTCGGCTCGGAGTCAGTATAATGTGTGCGAGTGGGATATTCATGCTTAACTGCTGCATGGTATCTCAGTGAGCTAGCACTATAAAACCAGCTTAAGTCTGGGCTAGTACAAGCAGCCACACATACACACGCATGCACGTCTTCATATGAGCCAAATATTCTCAAGTACGACGTTAAAACCAATTTCACCTCACCTTTCAGTATGAATTTCGAGTTATTTCCTTATATGTGCAGAGCGTAAGGGTTAGCCTAGCCTGTATAGATACGTGTATACGTTTCTAGTTTAATTCCGAGATGACTGATTTACTTTCACTAAATCAGGGATAATCTACAACGCTATATAGTCTCCCTGACTAAATACACAAGCTCAACAAAGACGAAATGTCGCATCATTACATAATAATGGGGTAATGAGGCTATGATGATTCGAAGTTTTTGTCCAGAAGGAAATATTTGATGTATAGACTATGTCGGAAGGGATAGTGTCGCCATAGCTTGCAGCTATTATAGGGCAGGCTACTCTACTCCCGCATACACACACGTCACAGCATGAGCATCGATCTGCGCAATTGGGAACCGATGACATGTGTCAACAATGCCACACCCACACCTACGCCCACGCCTACACACACGTTTGTTGTAGGCGCGATAAAAATCAGGGCGGGTGTTCACATGTTGTGTGTGACCTGGAATTACATGTACAGATGCGGCAGGTACACCAACAACTCATAACATTGCTTTACCTATAGTCTATAGATAAAGGCCTGTTGATAAACCCTTGTTATAGCGTTTACGCAAGATATTTCGACACTTAATCATCTCGACTTCTGCAAAGGTAAATTCCACCATTCATTCACAATATGCTAAATATCAGCCAAACTCGTAATTTATTTAATGACAAGTTTTACCAACAACTGCTCTTATATTCAGGTGACATTTGAGATGTCGTCGGCGATGAGTTTCTGCAATTGTGTGTCGACCTGCTGTACGAATGCCGGAAAGCTAGGGTCTGTGAGACACAGTCGGATCATGGTCTTCATCTCCTCTGGAGGGAAGTCACAATGCTGGTATGCTACAGGCAGTCTCGCCCTCAGATGTCCTGACACCACCTGGAACATGATAAGCACAACCATTTTTTCTTAGATTGTAGTGCTTCGTAACAACCTTTAATATGTTAAAGCTGTTGGGGGTTTTCAAGCCATAATAGAATATATATATACACCTGGAACTTAATTAAGCACCCCCTGATATATTTCATGATAGTAGAGCAACTGTTAACCATCGTTAAACATGAATGATATCTCTGTATTACAACACATCTCTAGTAGTCTAAAAAGGTGTTTCAGTTCCTTTGCACTCACAACGCATCCCTTGTGCACGTGAAGCAGACAACCCACACTTTTCCCAAAATTCAGTTTCTCTGACATGCAATTGATGGGTATAAAAGCAGACAAATTTGTAACTGTCTCCATTAATGAATACTGAAATGGCGAGATGACTTTCTGAAGCACTAAGGTGGCAAATTGTAGGCATGCATGCAACAGGCATGTCCTTCAAAGCTATTGGACGACAACTGGGCTACAGTCACTCGGTCATCAGCCGACTTGTCCTAAACATCAGATGACAGGAGATGTGAGAGATCGTTCAAGGCCTGGACAACCCAGGAAGACAACGGCCCGTGATGATCGCAGCCTGGCACGTCTGGTAAGGCGAGAACCCTTTGCTACAAGTTCGGGTTTGAAGCGCCTGTGGTTACCCTACAGACAATTATCCACCAGAACCGTCAGAAATCGCCTTAGGGCACTTGGTATGAGGTTCAGAAGAGTCATCAAACGTCCTGCTCTGTCTGATCTCCTTAAGAGACGACGTCTGGAGTGGTGTATGGCCCGTCGGCAGTGGAACCTGAGGACATGGAGGAGGGTCCACTGGTCAGATGAGAGCAGGTTCCTCCTCCACGTTACAGATGGTCGAATGAGAGTGTGGGGCATAAAAACACTGCTTACGTGCCCAGGAATATCCACCCTACTGTTCCTTATGGTGGAGGATCGCTTACGATCTGGGTTTGTCTTTCACACGACTGTAAACTTCAAATGGTGACTGTCCGAGGACATCTTAATGGTCAGCAGTACATTCGGGATATTCTCCATCCAGTTGTCGTGCCTCACTTTGACAACCATCCGTTGGCTACTCACCCGATATTCATGGACGACAACGCCAGGCCGCATCGTTCACGTGCTGTGACCGCACATCTCCAGAATGAGGCTATCATGGCATTACCTTGGCCAGCAATGAGCCCCGATTTGAATCCTTTGGAGCACATCTGGGACTTTCTTGGACGCCGTGTGAGGTTGAGAGAACCCCCTCTCCAGAATCTTGCACAGCTGGAAGCTGCTTTGCATGAAGAATGGCGGCAATTGCCACTTGATCGTATCAGAAGGTTTACCAGTAGCATGAGGAGAAGGATTCAAGCTGTCATCCAAGCACGTGGGGGATACACCCGGTACTGATGCCAGACCCATCAGATGTTAGCATGTGACATTCCTTGTGCATCATTTCTTGTAATAGTCAGCCATTGACAATGCTACGACCATACTTGTTCGGTGACTATTTTCATCAAAAATCAATAGTGACCAAATCACATTGGTTACGCTATTAAAACAACACGAATTGGAATCATTGTCTTGTTTTTCATTTGCCAATAGATCGTATGTTTCACAATAGCTAAGGTTCCACTATCTTTGGAATAGTGAGAAAGTTACAGCAAGTTTTGTTTCTCATCATCCAGAAAATAGGGGGGTGCTTAATTAAGTTCCAGGTGTATATATATACTGTACTATTTAAGTAGAATTACTTTATTTTATAAGCTTTTTTTGGAGGGGGGAGAGAGAGGTTTGAAACATTAGGGTTTTCGATATATTTCAAGTCTAATAGTTAAACATTTGGTTATTTTCAGTTGACGAACCTTCGGAAAATTGGCATTCACACTAAGCTTGATGTAAGGTCTTCACATACTACTTTACTTGTATTCTCGAATATTCTTAGGTTTATGATTGTGATTATCCGTTGGACACTAATTAAAATTCTTAGACTAAGATTTGGAATGGGCCCCTCTTCAAGACCCTTGATATCATTTATCAATAATAGCTAATACTGCACAGCTAAGAACAATGCGCCAATGAAACTACTTGCCAAACGATGATGGATAGTGACATGGGAAATATGCACTGTTCGTGTTTAATGGCTGTCTGGGTTGTGGAGTTGTGCTCGTCTTGTGGATATATTTAACCAACATGCAGTGTTATTTGTACAGATAGGCCATGTACCAATGTTGGAGACACAAATTATTGGACATTCGTCAGTCTACGTTTCATTGTAATCTTGACAGGTCCGATTTAAAATTGATCTTCTGCCTCCCATACTTGTAAGAGGCGACCTAAGGGATTGGGTGGTCCGTTACATATATTGCTGCCCTTCTGTCCCTCATAACACGTCTTCTCGGGAATAACTATCTGACGACTTTGGCCGAGAGTAACTTCCAACTTGTAGAATGCACGTCCGGTACCGGTTGCTGTTATTTGTGTTAGTTATTGGCATTTTTTACCAAATCATTTGCCAAGAGTAAATTGAATCTTAAATGTCATCCTTGCCTCATCTTGATACGTCTCCCCGTGTCCGTAACCTCGTAACTCAAATGCATATCACGCGTACTGGTCGTTACAGTCGTTTTTGTGCCCCTGTCTTAGGTTTTCTCACCTGAGCCATTTTACCGAGAGTGACCTCCCCTTGAAGGAGCTCAACCTGTGACACCTGTGGATTGACAGCGTCCTTCGGTTTCTCCTACAGTATACAAAAAGAACATAAAGACGTGTTATCTATGGTCTTCAGTCACATCACAAATATATTAAACCAGAGACCATATAATGATAATAATCTATTATATGGTCTCTGATTAAACATACATAAGATATTCATAATGTATTGTTTTGATGTTTATATTAAAACATGGACTGAGGTCGCATAATATATATTCATATAAGACAAACAGTAACTTGTACACAGTTATCTCAAGCATCCTTTCCAGTGTGAGACATCATGGCAGAACGAAATGAGTGCCTTAGGGACCTTGACCGTCGGTGTCAGTACTAAGCAGAAGCTGGCCTTGATCATTGGCAAATGGCAATCGAAGTATAACTCACGGATGTTTAAAGGATGTGAAGAAGACTGAAAATCTCCTACTCACGTTTGTGCTTGTGACATCCATACTTTTGGTTGTTGGACTATCCATCTTAACAGGGAAGAATTTGGACAGTCTCTCTGCACAAGCAGCACATTGATTTTCGGCTGTTATCCCATCACTTGCATAAAACTTCATTCGAAATCGTCTGGTTTCATTCTATCAGCAGAATAGATTAAATGGATGGTATCAAGATTACGGAGACCTGTATGAAATATATGGTAAAGTGAAATAAAATAGTACTAGAAATATACAGTATCCGCTGTGAGATGTTAAAGATACAAACGTATTCTTTCTTCAACACCAAAGATTCTGTTCGATCTCTTCACAGAGCGCGGTTCAACATTTTACGACGCTTCAGACAACCATGTCGTCTTAGTAGGCAAATGTCAGTGTGTACATTTTTGTCATAAAGTCTATTATAATGTTCAATTGTTCTCTGACGTTTTCATTCCGTCCCATATATTCATAGTTTATCTTAATCGTAATTTTATTGGAATATCATCTATTTACATTTGATTGCTCTGATTAAAAAAGAGACAGGAATTGGAACCAAAAAGGGCTTACTGCCACTTTATACATGAGCAACATGCTGTCCCTCTTCGTCATTCCCCGCATCCAGGCCCGGGCTGTCACCAAACTGTGGCTCTCCTGAATTGCAAGATATCAAGAATTCAAGAATACGGGCGTATGAACAACTAGAATAAAGACAAAAGAAACGATTTATCTGTTTCCAGACTTGTAGATCGACAAAGGATCGCTAAAACTTGGCGTTTGGTCTTACCATAACAGTTGAGCTCCGACACAGGACGAGGTGGCTGGAATCTGTGAGAGTCAATACAAGATCACCGTCGTTGTCATCGTATTGCTGAAAAACGACATAAACATATGTCTCACAGTATGCCATTGAAAGACACATGCAAAGACAATATTACAATCGGATTAATAATAACCACACATTAATAATTTAATATGTCGCTGGACTAATCGCATGTTCTTGACCAAAGATGGCGAGGTGAGTCTCGGGTTATTCTGTATTATTTAGACTGATCCCCTCCTTTGTGAATAGCTCACCTGCCAGTGTCCTTTTCCCACTACACTTGGAGTTGTCAGGTACCTGGCATATTTCTCGATTTTCCACACTTCAGGCATGTCTTTGAGCTTGGTGTAATAATACCAAGATAATACCAGATGCTTTAATTGTTTCTATGATCGTGTCAAGCCACTGAAGATCGGCTATGAGGCCAGTGCCTACATATAAATGGGTTGAAAACAACATCGATATGATACTGATTTGATACATGTGGAATAGACATCATAAATACATAACTCAACCAAACATATTAATTGTTATGCAAGACCTAGCTCTTCAATATACAAAAATATTATAGATGGAACAAACACATACATGTCATTAGCATCAATTGGTAGAACAGTATTGAATTATTGACACTTTTGTTTCTCTTCAGGGCTGTACATAATACTTCGTTTTGGGGGCATCGCGAAATCTGCGTCAGTTGATAGATGAAAAATAAAATATCAATGGAGCGTGTATTACCTTTTTTCATATAGGGAAAGGTAAATCATTTTGGGCAACACACATTCGAAGCAGTTTGTCATATCGGACACTCGACTTCGAGTACTTCTTGGTACCCTACATACGAGAGTATCTCGACTACATGTCAAAACTAGCTTTGTCTGCTGTGTCACACATTAACTTTGAATGCATATTTCTTTGTCCCTGCGTGTGTATTATTAATATTATATTTCAAGACATATCGCCATTAAGTAAGCTAAACTTCTTTTCTGGTAATATAATACTCCTAATCTACACAGTCTGGGATGAATTTCTGCCATCACTAATTCGTTTTAATGATATCATGAAATGAATTAGTCGTATAACTATCGAATCATATGATATCCTAAAATCGAATTTGCGATACCATCAAATGATCTAATTAATGGTCTGTAACAGAACACTGGAAATAAATATTAAAGCGGCGCCTCGTGATTTCTTTTGTTCGTTCTTTTGTTTTCATTTATTCATCGACAATTACACCTGAAATATCAATTAACTGAGGTCACAGGCAAATAATAACGTTGAACGAATTTTTTTTCGGAAAAACAACTGTAAGTTAATATATTCTCTGAGTAATAGAATGAAGAGCTTCGACGAACTTATGATTCTAGGTACAGAGCGGTGAATCTGTATATTATTCCAATGTTTAATGGTCGTGTTTTTATTGATGGATTATTACTGACTTTTTTATCTCTGCTGTGAGCTAAATGTGTATAGGTGTTCATCGAAAGCCGATCGACTTGGCGCTGAGTACAACTGGAATCGACATTTCTTCTAAACAGAATGAAAACACAGTAGCTGTGTACGGCAGTGTGAGGATTTAGGTTTTGACAAAATCTCTCTGATCTTATTACTTTTCCCCATGTGACAAACTATTTACGTTTACAATCAAAATGGGTCATTACATAGATATATTAGATGGACCTATTAGTTGCATCTGCATGTGTGGCCACAATAATGACGGTCTCCCTGGGATCACAGACGAGTCTAGCAGACGATATTCGACTGCACCAAGTGAACTGTCCGTGTAAGCTCACAGCGTGCTACCAACTACACCGACTGACAATGCTGCCTTTGTTACACGGGCGCAATTATGACCTACTGTTCGTGTTCGTATAGGGTATAACGGTAGCTGACTATGACATGCAATGGGAAAAACACAGCAGTTATTCCTGATCTCTAGTTGATGATCTTGACATTGCGTCAGTGAAGTCAATATTTTGTCACATATTCGTAAACACTAATTGTAACTTACAACAACATGCCAAGAAATAGTCACTTAAGATTCAATCATTCAGTACAAATAAGTGTTTTATTAATAATAGCATATTTTTAAAGTCAAGATGTAATATTAAAATATTTGGTGTGGGAATAATATGTACACAATAAGTGAAAAAACCTCGTACATATTCACCAGTTTGTAAGAATGTACATTTTTGACGTCATCATTTTATGTGGTCTTACTTTCAAAATGGCAGCTCCCTGTCCTGTCAAAATGACATAGATTCGAGGCTAGTACTTGTAATCTCTAAAAATATCAACTTCTTGTTGCAAATTAGACCAAATAAAATGGAGCGGGGTGCAGAATCGTCTCCCCGAGTAAGTGTTGTGCACGAAAGATCAAAGTACATTTATATTTTTGTGGAACGATATATCCTCACGCTATCTCATTCTCATGAAGATTCTGTTGCAACCTTTGATCAACATTTGTTCATGTTCAGCACATACTGGTTTTGCGTTCTTCATATTCCATGAATGTGATATAATACCAATACTTGTATTGTATAATAATTGTGATAGTCTTTCCTTGTTTACCAGTTTTATAAACGCGGAACGTAATTTCCTTATTTCGTTTCCTATCTTTTTGTGCGACTTTCAACAACACACTGTTTCATTGAAGTGTGATTATTGTTAAAATGTTCTGAGAATTTGATATCAGGGAAAAACAAATTATTCCTTGAGAAATGGATAGCTAAACTTATCCTTAAGTAACCATTTGGCAGTTATTAGGTAATATACCACATCCTGATACATACAAGGTCTTGTTTCACAAAAACTCATCCTGCTTCTTCTACCTGCACGTATACCAGATTTCAAATCATACAGTGATATAATGTTTAAGGATGTGTTTGGTTGTTGGTTAAAGATCATATATGAAAGCTACAATTTGTCATAAACCTCTTATGATGATCATGATGATAAACACTAAAATTTATTGAGAAATTGTTTTTAAAAGTTGCATTTTTTTTTTTTAAGATGGACAGACCCCATGTTCACAGTCTGCCATCAGACTACAGTGATGTCCAGTCAAACAGCTATGATCCAGAGTTCATCTCAGATATCAGCAACAAGATGCAAGTTCCAGACAGGATAGCTGTAGGAGGAGCGTATAATGGCCACGTGGAACACACTGGGAACACTGGCTCGGAACACATGATGGTGCCAGAAAGGATTGTTCTAGCAGGTAAGACAAAAAAGAAAGAGCTTGTATATATTGTCACATATGTAATATACTATAGCCTCAACTACTCACATTGGCATCAATAGTCTTTGAAATTGATTTAAGATTTCATCATTGAGTATGAGTAGACTGGATCCAGGTAAGAATTGTTCTTGAGGCAAATAACAGGATCAGCTGGTCAGACTCATTGACTTTTGTTATGTTACTTTAATGCAATTACTTACTGGTAGATCAATGCTCATGATGTCCAGATTCATGAATTCACAGACCACCTCATATATGTGGAATAATGTGGTTAAACAACAAAGAAACCATTTTTTCGGTCTTGGTAATGATATGACTGCCAGTGATGTCAGCATATTACACGCTATATTTGTTATTGCTGTCTATCAATAAATTGCTTTTCATATTTGAATGGCAGGAGGAGATACACACATCGGCATGAAGGAGGCACTACGCCCTCTTGTCTTTGATCGTCCTCCTGACAGTGAGAACATGTCATATGTAGGACTGATCACCCCACCCAGAACACTGACACTAGAGGAAAGATTCCCGACAGTAGAGGAAGTGGAAACACGCAGGGTTCATACAGATATGGTAGCCAAGCCAGAAGCCAATGGGTGAGGAGGACTGGGCCATTCATTGATGATAACATTTTCCAATCTTTGTCAGGTGTTGTTAAACCTAATGTCTAAGAATGTATTCTATCAAACACCTCTAGTGATCTCAAAAGATTTGTATTACTTTTCCTATTAGGGAGAAGGTAACTTTGCGATGTTGATGGAATATTGCTAAAAGCGGCGTAAAACTAAACTTACTACTACATGTTGATTTATCGCCAAGAAATTCAGTCAAATTCATCTTATTTTTGTTCAGGGACTATTGTATAGTTCAAGCAGGAACATGTGTTTGACATTATTTGTGATATAGCCCCCTGATACCAAGGGTAATGTTGCCATTATCCTGCAGTATGTATTGCACTCTTCCCTTACATACTACCTTTCCTTTTTCTAGTGAAAACATGCAAAACATGGAAATGCTATCCCATTAGAAAGAGCCAATTCCTGAACAATGTTGAAACTGCTCGCTCTTTCTAAGGGACGGATGTTTCCAATCATGTTTTCACACAAAACAGAAGAGGTGTAACAGAATGTCATGGTGGTCATTATTGCATCAGAACTTGTTTGTATACAGAAACTAACAAAGTCAAATCTGTTTCTATTACAGGATGGGCCCAGTGCCATACACTCCAGGAGTGTCACCCTACGAGTCACTGCTCCTCAATGAAGAAGATGAAGCCACTCTATTACGAACCCAAGTTTCTAAACTGACCCGTCGACTGGCCGTCATGGAGCAGGACAACCAGCGGCGATCTCAGCGTGAACTTTTCCTCTACCCTGCAGTGTTCGGTTATCTCCTGTTTCGAGTATTCTTCTGGTTCATGAGAAATAGATGAAACCAGATACCTCCTCCCAGACAGACTCTAAGATATACTACAGGATGTTAACTTTTTCTCAATTACTTCTTACTGTTTACCTGTGGGAAACATTCTAGTTACTATTCTAGGAGGACCCATATATTAAGGGCCAGATATATTACTCTAGTAATCTTCAGAAAGACTATTTGTGGCATGTGTACACCACTACACACCATATCACTACATGTGTTTGTGAACATGGCAGGTATTCATTTTATCCAGGATATTGCTGTTCATTATCATGCTGTTTTCTGTAGTTTTTCTTTCACATGGACTTTGTGTGTATTTAACCCATGACACTGCTGGTACACTACTGGAACATCAAGCTATGGTTCAGTGGAACCCTGCTAATACAGACTCCTCCAGATACAATAATTTCGCTAAATATCTTGATATCTGGTTCTGACTTGAGTTACCTTTACCATGTTTATGTCTTGTAGAGTCGGACCACTGCATCTGAAACAAACATGGGATGCTGTGCTGTAACTGTGGTCGTCAATCAGCATGGTTGTAGTCATCAGTTAGTGGTTAGCAGCTATAGCATGAATGTATGAAAGTTTGTGATCAGATGTGATCATTATGATGTAAGCATCACATGCAGATTGGAGAGTATGTTGGTTGTGTGGACTAGTTAGCCAGTGATATCTAGATATGACGCCAGTTTGGTCACAAATATAACTGTCCAGATCCAGAAGCAAGATTTTCGGATATGCGAGCAAGTTTATGATGCACACTTTTTGTTTACAATGAGTATTGTTCTGGAGGCTTGGTTTCAAATATCTTATATCCACCTAAGTGGGACTCACTTTTTAAGAATACTGGTCCCTCTTTGAAAATTCAAATCCTAAAACATGTCTTCTTTTTTTAAACATGTTACTGCATTTACTTGGTAATTTTGGCATTGGGGAATATTCTTTACCTGTGAAATTTTCTTCACTAACAGGCTTCTAGACAGCCAGAAATCTACATGATATAGGGAGAGAACTTAAAGTGGAAGGACTAACCTTTTTAGATCCTCAACATGCCACAGACCTTGCTGTGCCGGGTTGTTTCTGTGAATGATTGTATTGTACTTCAGGAATATGGCTCCTCAGACATTGTCAATTCAACATATTGAGTGTATACTTTTGAATAAACAGCTAAGTATTATCTTCCTTGGTTTCACAATGTTTTGGTAAGAACATATACCTGATTGACATGTAGCTAAAGCATGGGTTTGTGATGTCAGATTGTTGAGATTTGTTGTAATTCATCATAGTTTATCATAGTGCTTCTGGATAACACTTCTTTATCTTACAAGTAGCTAAAGATATGTCAACTTGGTTGACCTGTCAATATGCAGTTTTCTTTGGATCATCAGTGAATGATATTGTTGCAGTAGGGATTGCTGGGTACTCAGAGGTAATTTACCTTGAGCAATGATAAACATATTGATTAATTTACTCTTTTACAACCTGTAAGGTTTCATTTTCATGAATTGTGAAATTGAAAATCCTGATAAGCATAACATTATATAGCCTTATCAAATTTATCTTCCATAATGTTTGATTATGTATTACCTACTGATACTGATGTATCTGGGTCTATCATCAGCTGAACCAACGATAACAGATGACTAGCATATTTTTCTAGACATCAGGGGACTACGCACTACCTCACCAACGTCAAAGATTTTGTTACATTATTTATTATCATACACAGACAGAAACACACAAAAAACCCACAGACACCCAAACACAAAAGCCATTAGCCATGGTGAGTGTATATACTGGATGGATAGCATCTTCCCAAGGCAAGGGAGTTAACTGACTGCCTAAACATGCTAAATTTGGATTTCAGGATTTGTGAAACATGTGTCTGCCATATAGCTGGAATTTGCTGAGTGCGACGTAAAACTAAACTCACTCACTGTGAGGCATGTGAAAATATATTTTCCTCACAGTTATTATTATAACCAACACACTCGAGCAATTAGATGCTTTTACGATTATCTCAGAATTATCACATTTTGTGTGAAGCAAATGCAGGTGATATTAAAGATAGAATTTGATTGCTCATTGGGAGAGATGACAAAAGGGAAATAACTTGCAGTAGCTACCGCTGTGTAATTCCAGCTTAGCTTGGCATGACTGGAAACTGCACTTGTACAATCTGTTAACACCCTTGCCTCTGGTAGATAGGTGGATATTGACAAACATTATTTTCTCTGCATGAAGATTACAAGAACAAGTTAGATTCATGTTCATAACAGTTGCTTATTTTGTTTTTTTACTTTGTCAAAATATATTAGAAGAGTTGTAACAGTATTTATTTTTCTACAATTGTTTTGCATTACCTACCTAAACATTGCACTTTGCCTTTAAGAGCTTAACAGTGAGTTTGCTTGTTGCTTGCCACAAAAAAACCCAACTCTCCAACAGCTACGGTTGCATTGATTGAAACAGATGCATGTGTTGCATTAGTAGCATCTCTCAGCTGTTCCTGGGTTCAGATCCATCAGTTATTATCCTCGGTCTGTCAACACTATACACATGGTGGTTACTCTATTTGAAGTGGTAATTCTATGACCTGTATAACTGTTGGCTTTCCAACATTGAAATGACACGCCATAAACAGAAATTACTCAAAAGGTTGACCCAAGTCTTCAAAATCTCTTATTTTACTGATGAGTAACTGTTATAGTGCTAGAACCGACACATCTTGCCAATATTACATAAATGAGATTGTGTTTTCTTCAGAACTGGTCAGGCCAAAGTTCTATTTAAATTGGTTTCAGCCCACTGTTCAATATGTCAACATTGGACAGCATCTGATACCAAACAGCATCATAACTGTGAGACTCCATGCTAATAATCCTGCCTCGGCTAATGTCTTGAAAAATGTGCCACAGCTTCATCATGGATTTTGGATGTAAGTTCTGTGTATTTCTGTTTTGAGTGAGTGGATGGTTTATATGCCTTTTAAACACTTCCTATTATTTCCATTTTGTGACAGTGAACTATTTTGCAAATTTGATACTAGTCATTAGAATGTGTTGAGACGTGTTGATGATTCATCATTCCATAGGTAGTCTTGTCATGTACAGTGAAGCCCCTCTGCTGTAGAAGTATTTTGTTTCAGCATTGCTGTGTTAAGTGCCATGTCCTCAACCACCTGTACATATGAAGACTCAGTATGCATGCTTAATCATATATAGTGTAAAAATCATCTCTGCCATGCTAATTTTACATTTTTGCATTTGTATATCCATTGTAACTCAGTGATATATATATTTGTGTATGATAATTATTTTTTTTAGATGACCATATTTGTAAATGTAATTACAGCATATGTTTCTGCTGATTTGTGCTCCACAGGTAAGACATACATTCATGTTACTGTAGTTGTCTCCCCTTGAGGTAGAGGCAACAGCAACAGATGCACTGATGGCTGTTGCAAATATTTGCTAGAGTTCAACATGGACCAGAAATTCTCTTTGTGCTATAATCATGATAATTGTGGCAATAGTCATTGGGACAGATTATAAATGAACTGCTGCACCATTGCTTGGTGTCTTGGTGTCATGGTTTTGTCCTCAGCATCTTTGTGATATGTCAAAAACATTAAGAGGAGGATAAGTGAAATATTGTGTCATTGTAACATGAAATCCTGAAAACAGATCATACATAATTATTATCAGTTTAGTTACTTAACCATATTGTTTTTAGGACAATAATAGTGAAAGTGTGGCCCTCACTGGATATATTGTACATAGAACATGTACAAGACATAGGAAAACTTACACATTTTCAACACCTGTAGCAGCATTGGTTGATGTGACTGTCTTGTATCTGTTGTTGCCTTCAATAAACCTAACTGGTCTCTGCCTTGCTGCTGGTGTGTCTAGTATTATGCAGGTCAACCCTGTGTCTGGGATACTGCAGGTCAACCATGTTGTGTCTGGGATACTGCAGGTCAACCATGTTGTGTCTGGGATACTGCAGGTCAACCATGTTGTGTCTGGGATACTGCAGGTCAACCATGTTGTGTCTGGAATACTGCAGGTCAACCATGTGTGTGGGATACTGCAGGTCAACCATGTTGTGTCTGGGATACTGCAGGTCAACCATGTTGTGTCCGGAATACTGCAGGTCAACCATGTTGTGTCTGTGATACTGCATGTCAACCATGTTGTGTCTGGGATACTGCAGGTCAACCCTGTTGTGTCTGGGATACTGCAGGTCAACCATGTTGTGTCTGGGATACTGCAGGTCAACCCTGTTGTGTCTGGGATACTGCAGGTCAACCATGTTGTGTCTGGGATACTGCAGGTCAACCATGTTGTGTCTGGAATACTGCAGGTCAACCCTGCTGTGTCTGACAATTGTTTCCTATCATTATCTTACGTGGCCATTGAAGATCCGGGTCTTCAGCAATCCATGCTTGTTGAAAGAGGCGACTGATGGTCGGCCAGGCTCCTTAACTTGGTTCATTGTACCCCACAAATGCATAGATCGATGCCCATGACACCAGTCACTGGTTTGTCTGGCCCTAACTCGAAACATTACCTTACTCCGTGGAGCCATACAAATACCGCTTATATGTATACCTAAAATAACCATAGAAGGAACAGTAAGCCTGAAACATAGAGTAACTTAGCAAAACACTAAGCACACGCCTGTGATACTGGACTCTGTTAATAGGATTAAAGGGGCGGTGGGGTAGTCTAGTGGTTAAAGCGTTGGCTCGTCACGCCTAAGACCCGGGTTCGAATCCCCACATGGGTAGAATGAGTGAAGCCCATTTCTGGTGTCCCCCGCCGTGATATTGCTGGAATATTGCTAAAAGCGGCGTAAAACCAAACTCAGTCAGTCAGTAATAGGATTAAACTGATAATGACAATTGTTTTGCTGTTTCCATCGGTTATTTTAACGAATCTGAAAACATTTACTTTAAGTCAGGAAATAGTTTCCGTTTCCATATTCCGTTAAAATACACAGGAAGGCCTGAAATATGTCATTATGAAAATAGGTCAATTATCGGCTACATGAAACATATCAGGCCCACGGACAATCCCAGCATATTGTAACCGCTCACCTTCCTTACCGCTATAGTAGTTATATTTTATAACATTTCATACAAGTTTTTGTCGCGTCATACATGTATTAAATGTGTGTACAACATGTGTTCTCAAACTAAAAACCCTAGTAATCAAGCACAGCCGGACAAACCCATCCGTCATGCAGTCTTTCTGCCCAACTGGAAACCTGCTCATGTCCCTAAAAGATACGCGTTTTATGCACTGGTATGCACAACAGTTAGGGCAACAAAATGCATAGCCAATGTCCTCATCTCAATTTGTCTCCGCAGATTTAGTTTGTTGATAGCCATTTTCATTCTACATACAGATCAGTTCATGGTTTCGTATTCTTTTCTTCCTTGCGTTAATTTTGATAACAGTCGTGCACGGGGTTTACCCAAACGTCTTTGACGTGTTCAAGTGTATGGTAAAGGACCAGAAACAACTAATTCCTACTTGGGAATTCTAGGCATTCGGAAAGTCCAACCACAGTCTAAGTAAACTTAGGCTCAGTATTATTCGTTACTAGTGTAACGAGTGAGTGAGTGAGTGAGTTGGGTTTTACGCCGCTTTTAGCAATATTCCAGCAATATCACGGCGGGGGACACCAGAAAAATGGGCTTCACACATTGTACCCATGTGGGGAATCGAACTCGGGTCTTCGGCGTGACGAGCGAACGCTTTAACCAACAGGCTGCCCCACTGCCCCAGGGGGAGACAGAAATGGACTAGTGTAACGAATAATACTGAGCCTATAAGTTTACTTAGACTGGTCCAAATATCACTTGAAGTTCTCATGACCATGGTCTAATGTTTTGGGTATAAACAAGAACAGGCCATGTTAAAATGTAATACTATTGACATTGTTGATAATATTAATATCCCAACTGAGTTAGTAGATTGGGCTAGTTGACAGTTCATTCAGCGAGTTTCATTCAAGCCGTTCAAACATCACTCAGTCTGGTAACTCCATACAATAATAAAGGCAGTTCATACCAGTAGTGAGCGAGTTTAGTTTTACGCCACTTTTTGCAATATTCCAGCAATATCACGACGGGGAACACCAAAAATGGGCCTCACACGTTGTACACTATAGGGAATCGAACCTGGGTCTTCGGCATGACGAACGAAGGCTTTATCAACAAGGCTACCCCACCGCCCTTTTTTACCATGATTCGATTCCCCAAATGGGTACAATTCTGGTGTCCCCTGCCGTAATATTGCTGAAAGCGGCATAAAACTGAACTGACTTGAACTCATACCATGCACCCGTGAAGGTCCCGGGTTAGAATGAACCTTCAGTAACCCATGCTTGTCGCAAGAGGCGACTAACGGGATCAGATGGTCAGGTTCGCTGGCTTGGTTGACACATGGCATCGGTTCCCAATTGCGTAGATCGATGCTCATGCTGTTGATGACTGGATTCTCTGGTCCAGATTCGATTATTTACAGACCGCCGCCATAAAACTGCAATATTGCTGAATGCGGCGTAAAACGAAACTCACTCACTCACTCATACCATGAATATACTGAGACATTGTAGGTTATGTATACGTTAGTAATTGGTGCGCACGTGTATAAGGGGCGGGGCGGGAGCACGAGGTGCTCATCGCGGGGGTCTGGAGGATTGGCATGTTTACAAGATATATATTTAGACAGAAGTAGAAATCATTCCACGAACATTGTAAACATCATATGTAACAAAAACCTCTCGTGTCTATGGTGACTTTATTTATCTATAACATAAAATGTTTCATGAAAGCGAGCAAAGAGTAAAGGGGAATTAGTTGGCAAACTGGAACCATGTTCCTCGCTAACACACCAAAACATCGATCTCGATCACACACACGCACACGCACGCACGCACACAGTGAGTGAATGAGTTTAGTTTTACGCCGCACTAGCAATATTCCAGCTATAATTATGGCGGCGGACCACACAATCCAGTGATCAACAGCATGAGCATCGATGAAATGTGTCAACCAAGTCAGCGAGCCTGACCACCCGATCCCGTTAAAAACTAGCCGCCTCTTACCACAAGCATGGGTTACTGTCAAAGGCACATTCTAACCCAGACCTTCACGGGTCACACACACACAGCGCGCTGTGCATTATTAGTTATTTAGCCTTCTTTCCCCATTTGGTAATCCGCCCTAGGTAAATTATGTCTATATTCAAATCTGATCATTTTATTTATCATAACTGAATAGATTGATGCTCATGATATCAGTCACTGGAATGGTAGTGCAGATTCGATGATTTACTGACAGCCTTGATATAGCTCTAACACGGCTGGAACACTGCCAAATGAATGCGGCGTTTAAATAACAAAGAAACAAACACACAAACATGCAAACATTTATTTATGTTCCGTATTGGCCGTGATCCAATTAGATTCCGAGTCTATTCGGAATAATGTATTTTCACGACCTGACCTTATTAAAACGCTCATTTGTAATATTTGGAGAAAAATGGCCATACAGACTGCAAACTAAAACATGATTCGTCTGAAACTAGAGTTACATAATGGATTTATACTTGTTCTGAATGTCCAAATATGCTCTAACACAAACTTACGATTGAGAAACTGTTTATGAATAGATTAGTTGCCAACACCTGCCTCATTTGTCAAGATAAATGTTAATGAATATCACGCACGTACGCACAATTTCCACATATTTACTGTTAATTTTGCTTCGAGGATACGTCTTATACAACTGACACGGCTGGGAGTATGCAGAAATCAAATTGGCAGCTCAAATATCCCTCGTGTCGTTTGACATCTGTTGAGAATGGGAGACAAATTTATTAAACTATTTGCCACACGACTGATGCAACTACTGAATAACGCATCAGGTCTTCTGTTGAGCTGTGGTCGAAGTCAGCAGAGCAGTCTCCAAGAGGTGACACAGACTGCGCCAGTTATGAGAGTCATATGAGTTCAATATATGTTAACACACAAAGTAAGATGGTACTTGGACGTTGCATACGCTTTAATATTGAAACATGACAAAAATATGCACAGTTATATCATGAACACAAGAAAGTTTATTGCATAGTGAAGCTTATTTTACATATCTTTATTGCTTTTTCACGAGAATTGATATCAAGTTAAAAGGGTGATTGACTGAACTCCAGCTTTTATCAAATTTACGAACGCTTCAGGTTGATTCGATTTCGCACTCTGGCTAGTTGGAAGTGGAACAGTTAGTTGGTGCTGCCATGAGAGAGTAATTAGGGACCGTTCATAATTTATGGCTGGGGTGGGGTGGGGTGGGGTGGGGTCATGATGATTCTTATGGAGAAGCATGTACAATGTGAATGACCACACACACACACACACACCCCACCCGACCCGCTAAAATTTCTGTACAAAATAAGTGACCCCCCTTGCATGTCATGTACAAAATTGTATGTAACACCTTTGAGTATATGTAATTTCTGGTCATGACAGAGAGTGGTTGAGTGAGTGAGCGTGTCAGCATAATGTGGGTGTGTGGACCCCATGTACACGACGTTACTGTCGAAGACGGACATGGTGATCCCAAACCAATATTCATATTCAGGGCGAATCGAACCCACGTTCGTTGGGACACTTGCGCGCCTAAGGGGACGTTACAATTCACAACGAATTGTGACAACTTCTACGGCGAGTTGAAGGAGTCTTAAGGTTTTCCGAAGTTGCTGATTGTATGTCAGACCGTATAACAGGTGTTTTGTGTTCTCTGGTTCTGTAGCAAAATGATGTTCAAGCATATCCACAGGAGCAATTCTCATAAACAACAATCTCCTTCGTGATACATTGGAGCTTTTAAATGTTAAAGGGGCCTTAGGCTGGTAACAATAGACTGTCCTAGCAATTATTTTCAAGCCATCCATCGTCCGACTTTTTTGTCTGCAAACTCAAATCACATTATGTGAACTTATGTAGAAGTTTACCGTTAACCAAACTACACATAGATACTGTATCAATGTTACACTACACCCGTCAAGATTCGGGTTACAGATGGTCATCGGGGACCCATGCTTGTCTGAGGCGCCGAACGGGATCGGGTGGGCAGGCTCGCTGTCTTGTCTGAATTCCACACTTTATAGATGCCATTCACCGGAATGGCTGATCCAGACTCCATCATTTACAGACATGGTCATATAGATGAATTGTTTTCATTGGCTTCTCATGCAAATATATATCTGTAGATCTTGTAGGGAGTGACAATAAGCATGGCCATACTGTAAACATTCTATTACAAGTCAAGTGGGCATAACAACTCAAGGGACATGTCTTCAGTCTTGTCAAGGCCATGTTTTCTTACTGTCTTACTGACGAAACGAAAAGAGAGAGGTATGGGTGGAACAGCGAAGAAAAAATTAATGTATATATATATTTCATTATTTTGAAAATTTCAACATATTATTTTCCAACATTGAAAAATAGACTGAGGGGCACCTCTTAAATGAATTTATAATAACTGAAAATATAATAATAGTAATGTGTCCATTCATATAGCGCCAAACTCCACATCAGGTATGCCCATAGTGCTAATAATGTATATCTCATGTTAGCGATACTGTATAAAAAAGGAGAACAGTGCTCGAGCTGTCAGCACTCCAAGAATCCTTCTACGTGGTTTGTGTTAGAAATACGGTTTAATTTAAAAATATTAATATTTTAAAAAAGATCGCATAATACACAACTAATGAAGATTATAAGACATCTTATGTTTGAAACTGACTTGGGTGAATGACACTCTATGTATGTTATAGTTAAAATATTTCAGCTGTTTCATTGTGGACTGTGGAAATGAACTGACGGCAGCGAGCCAAGGGATCAGAGAGCGACAATACACAGTGACTCAACTAATTCTGAGACTGATCACTCGTTTCAACCTGCTCTTACAACAAACGTGTGAATTCCAATCATGTAATGATACGATGTTTTCTTCTGTCTTTCTTTTTTAGAATATGTTTTGGGTCTAAAACTGACGGCAATCTCACAACACACACGCCTCCTTTCGAGTTGTACTTAAGGCAAAATAGCATAAGTAATTTATGTATTTCATTTGCAGTGGCCATCTAATCATGGTACTGACGTCTTGGCAGGAAACGACGGAGTCCACAAACGACGTACTCTAGTTGACGTCATGGTATTGTTCATTGACGTAATAATGACGTTTTCAAACAATCGAAAATATGACATTGTTATAACATTTATATATTTTAATGCCTAAACACCATTGTATATTCGAATGATTGATATGATGTACATAACTAATATCACAGAGCTTCATTATGAACATGAAAAATATTGGCCACTGAACCGGCATTCTTTGTTGGGTGCAACGGGGTTCATTAGAGCGAAGGTAATTATTTCCCAATGAGCTTTCAGTACCTATAAACGTGCTTTGATGCGAATATTAGGTTTTAGTGAATCATCGTTAGCATTACTTATTACAGTTCCTACCGAAGTCCGGTGCAGACAATATTAAACGTTTATTAGCTATCGGGGAAACAGTATGTGTCACACAGCGAGCTATCGCTGAGCGAACTTCCTGTGGTTGATATTTCAGTCAACTGGTAGAAAGGCGATGTAGATCCCAATGATGACTTAAGATTGGATTTTAATTCACGACAATGCAAATAAACGTCGGTGACTTCGTGAAGGAGTCATGGGAGGACTACAAGTCACCCACGACATCCACCTTCACATCGAAAATGGGTCACTGTCGACATACGGTTTCAACATTGGAAGAGGTAAGCTTATTGATGGTGTCACATCTAAACCTGGCCACTGATGTCCTCGTTTTAGGAATCTTTTATGTGACGTTCATTTTGCGGATTATTTGCGTGATGTCATATAATTTTCACAACTGTTTGGAACTCATTGCATATATTTTCTGTTTTGTTTTCGGACCTGTGGCTTTTCCGATTCATCTTCATATTTTGCACCATGAAGAAACACGAGTTACCGCCCCTTAAGGAATACGATATCTGCACTGATGCCTCCCATTGTTTAAGATGCTCGTTTGCATTTCTGTAGCTTAGTGACTTACATTTGTAACGTCTTATTTAATATTATATAAGCAGTCTATTGCCATCCTGGGTTTGACTTTTAACATTTTTTATTATTATAAGAAAAACAGATTCTGATGCCCCACCCCAATCAATCACTGTCAAAAGAGTGAAAATATTTTGTCACATGCTTCTGGAAATAGGTACTACTACTATCACTGGAAATAAGAAGAATGGAAATTTGGAAATGTGAATTATAATAAAACGTTATAAATAAACATGACAAGTGTAGCATTTAATATTTTCTCTGTGTTTCTCAGAAACTGTCTCAACACAAGTTGACTTGCTAAGCATCCTGAATGATATAATCGAGCCATTGTCATAACATAATTACTGGTAGAGCAGTCTTTAAGCATGGTAACTGAGTGATGGAGGCCCATCATTAAATGTGTGGTTGGAAGATCAGAGGGATTTTTGTTGATGTTGACTTCAAAAGTTGAATTACATTTGCCAGACAGAGAGGAATATCTTGACCTGTGTGACAAAGCTGCATTTAAGAGTGTAATACTTACTAACAAGTTATCAAATGGGGCACATAATATAATAAGGCCCCTTATACATGTATATCACCACACTCCATGCCGAGTGGGAATGCTCTAAGCACATACAACATAATGGACATTATAACCCAGGATAATCCAAACTGCCTGTGAGGAGCTAGAAGGTTAATAGTCATATGACTTATTCCACCGGGTACCCATTTTCTGCTGGGTCAACAAAGGCAATTTTTTAACAAACTCACTTGCCTATTGTGAGACCACATGTGTTGCATGTGCTTCATTGTGGGAAGGACAGAAGTCCATCCAAGGACTCTCCTTGATCAACATTGTTTAACTTCAACTAATTTGTGACTGCACTCTATGCACAGGACCACACGCCACCACATACTCAGATGACTGAATTGATTTTTCCATATTGTCAATAAAAGTTTTTTTGGACATAAATGAGAGGAATTCAAACATAATTATAAGGAGAATAAGAGGTACTGTGACCTCAGCTGAAGGTATCTGTTCTAAATTCTAATGCTTCTCTATATTATCTTTATCATTATTCTTATGAGTGTTGAAACAAACAAGTTGTATCCTGTTTTTGGCATGAAATCTTGGCTTACCACTTGATAGAAGAAATTTGTAGTTGACTCACTGATAAAAGAAAAAAAAACAATCCCTGACATGCCTTGGATGTTTGTAACGTCAGCTTGTCTTAATGCATTTGATTTTGGGTGAGTTTCTATTCACATCCTGTTCATGTGACAGTGTTCAAATGAAACTGCTGTATATAAATCCTGTCAGGAGTGAGGAATATGAACTGCAACCTAGAACATGATATGTGGCGTAACACCCTAGTGTTGGGCCTATCAGGTTTCATTGTACACTCATAGCGTGACTTCCAGCCCAGGCCATGTGTCATCACTGTGAGGCTCGTCTATTACCCAAGGTGGCCATTAAGTATCTGTAGATATGTCTTATCAAATAATATATCTTAGTTAGGTGATAATTACTTGATAATTCTATTGAAATATGATAAGATTATTTGCAGTAGGCATTTATTGGTCATAAGATTTGGGGCACATGAGTAAAATGTTACATGTTAAAGAATTTGCATATTTAAGAATTTAGGGGATGTGAGGATGTTAATATATGTATATTTTTACCAAAATTTATACATGTAAAATCTTCATTTTTCTAGGAATTTAGTTTTGGCTGATTTATATGAGAATGGTGAGCAATGGAATTGACAATGAACATTTGAGGGTAAAAGTTTGTCAAAGTATTAATGTGAAAATGTGAAACAAATCTATGTAGGTCCTGTGTGGTCTGTTCACCTCAGTTTGTTTCTAACATTATATCTGGATTTATAACCAATAATTCAAGTTCAAACATCAGTTATGTGTTACATCTTGAGTAAGTATTTACAGTCATTGATTATGGTTTGGACAGACATTTTCAATCATTGATTATGTTCTTGAAAGGCATTTAACATGTTTAAGAGCATTGATTAATTCTCAAATGATGCTAATACACAAATAGACAATTAAGTAATTGATTAATTCTTGAACAGAAATAGAATAATCTATGTCTATTTATTTTTTATCATTTTTCTCTTGAATAGTCTGCCAAAAGGTTCTATTAAAAGTAAAATATGTTAGCATATTTAGCAGGATTTGGGTATGTGTGAAATTACCTAGAAACTGCAGTGGCAGTATCTTGTAACCATGGTAACAAGCATCTATATTCAGCATGATGCAGTATAAAAATGTGATCAGGGACTGTGTGCGTCTACTAACAAAGCTGACAAATGCGTGACTTAAGGGTTACTATGAGCAACTTCCTCCATAGAGTCAGTTTCCTCTCTGAGAGACTGAGTATGCAGCCAGCAGTGACACACATAGCCCTGCTTATGTCCAGCCATGATTAGTCAGTGTATTAGCTGTCAATTTCTCAGCTATGCAAATAATGTGACTGGTATAATTGAGGTGACCTTACACACATGGGGAAGTAGGAACATTGAACATGTTGAACCTCTGACAGTGTGTGCATGGAGTTAATAGGGTCACATATGCACTAGTGAGGTGTCATTACAGGTCCTGACAAATGCAAACTTCTCATAGTTAGTTTGGTTGTGAAAGGTCAACCAGCTGTCTGTCTTGATTACATTTCAAGGAAATACTTCACAAGCATGTTTTGGCATTTGATTTGATCGTGACAGTTAATATGATCATGTGTACAGTAAGGCTGTTAAGCTTCACTCACATAGTCTTTAAATCAAACCGTATCCCTTCATGATTCAATTCCTTATTCGTTATCACTAGAATTGAATATTCATGGATTTTTTAAAAAGGAGTCTTTTTACTTGGGTTTTGATGTTATTAATTAAAAGGAGATATGCAATGTGGAATATATCAAAGTGTTTATGACTGCCTACAGTTTCCTCGAGGGATGTTGGGTAGCCGAGTAGTGTTGGGAATTGGTTAAAATCTCATAATTGATGATTGGTTCATTACAACCGATCAATCATCAAAAATAATTGGTTAGCGTCATTAATGAAATTTGTCAATGCACATAGAAATAAGTGATCTGTTGGTAATATTGCAGGCTTGTGGAAAGACACTCACTCACTCACTCACTCATGCACTAACGCATGCAGGCACTCACTTACTCACTCACTTAGTGTTTCAACATCTTGAAAGAAGATTGCTGATAAACAACTTATATTCAGAGGATTCCTGTTCCTTAGGCTGCTAATACTTGTAGCATTTATTATTCAATGGATTTGTGTTTACTCTCTGATTCAAAACATAAACATTTGAACACACTTAAAGATTGGCTCAGCTTGGGCAAAATGCTATCTCACAAGTGGTGAATCAGGTTAGTCAAACAAGCTTGGATACCAGGGCCAACTGTGGGTTTATGATCTAGTTTGAGTAATGAATTGTCATCCTGCTTGAGTGGTACAGTGGGTCTTCTGTCAGCCATTCGCAGATCCGTCTCAGTGTTCTGCCATTAGTCAATTCATGGACTACGGAAGGCCGTGGTAGATAGCATAAGCAACTGTCCATGTTGTTAGGGTACAGTTAATTAACATCCATAGTTGCAGTACTTGCACTTTGCTGTAAACACCAGTTGTTTTTTAACTATATACATTTGAATTTCACATTGAGCAATTAACACAGTGACCATATTGACTAAACACCAGGATCACTCACTCATGCAATCAGTCTTACTTAACCTGTTCCCACAAGGATACAGCGTGTGAAGCCCATTTCTGGTGTCCTCCTGATATTGCTGGAATATTGCTGAAAGCAGCATCACACCTTATTCACTCACTCACTGACTGACTGACTCACCCAAACCCACTCACTCACTCAATCAGCCATTTGTTCACTCACTCATTCAGTCACTTGTTCACTCACTCGTTCACTCACTCACTCACCCAAACCTACTCTCTCATTCAGTCACTCGTTCACTCACTCTTTAAATATGAATGATATATGTCCACTACAGCCCATGTGAGTCTATACCTGTTGGCAAGTTTACATTACTGCAGTTTCTTAAAAACGATACTTTCTCAGCTCCTTTGTGTTATATTTTATAAGGATACTCTAACAACTATTTTTACTGTATTTTTTTTCTGTAAATTATTTTCATTTCAGAGATGTTAGTCTAAGTCTCACTCTGACATGATAGCTGTCTCACTCTGACATGATAGCTGTCTCACTCTCACATGATAGCTGTCTCATGATCTGACATGTCTCATTCTGACATGATAACTCTGACATGATAGCTGTCTCACTCTGACATGAGCTGTCTCATGACATGACAGCTGTGTCCTCACTGACATGACACATGATGGCGCTGCTCTGACATGATGCTTCTGTCTCACTCTGACATGATAGCTGATAACTCTGACATGATAGCTGTCTCACTCTGACATGATAACTCTGACATGATAGCTGTCTCTCACTCCTGACATGATAGACTGTCTCTGACCGCTCTGACATGATAGCTGTCTCACTCTGACATGACATGATGGCTGTCTCACTGACATGATGGCATGTCTCTCTCATGACATGACAGCTGTCTCCACTCTGACATGACAGCTGACATGACAGCTGTCTCACTCTGACATGATAGCTGTCTCACTCTGACATGATAGCTGTCTCACTCTGACATGATAGCTGT